GCTTGGCCCAGCCAGGGATGCCCACCAGTTGGGCTGACCTGGGCTGTGCCTTTGGACAGGCAGAGCCTGGATGCAAAGGCCAGGGGCTTCAGGGCCAATATGAGCAGAAAAAAGACCCAGGTCCCTGTGCACCTCAAGATGGGCCACAGTGCTCCAAGATCACCTGTGCCAACTGCATCTGTTTTGGAGTTGGCTGTGAGTGGAAGAGAACTCCAAAGAAGAGTGCCTTAAAGGAGATAAACACTGATTTCTCTTTCTCATAAACAGTCCAGAGGCCGGCAGTCCTAAGATAGCAAGATGGCTCTTTGGTCCACAGGGACCCAGATTCCTTCTGTCTTACTGTTCCACACTCCTCAACACCTCATGGCCCAAAATAGCTGCTCATTCTCCAGTCATCATATTTACATTCTGGCCAGAGGGAAGGGGGAAGAGGCAAAGAATGCTCTGCCTCTCTTTAAGGACTTCTCTCAGAAATTGCACATGGTATTCTACTTTCCTCCTCTTGGCCAGGATGGAGACACATGGTCATACCTAACTGTAAGAGGCTAGGAAGTGTGGTCTCTATTCTAGTGTCCATGTGTTCAGCAATGTCTGTGGGGTCCTAATACTAAGGGAAAGGGAGACCATCGGCTTAGAAACCACCAGTAATCCCAGCCATACCTGAAAACCAGCAGCCAGAGTGCGTGTTTTTAAACTCATACCATTTTATTTCCCTGCTTTAAAGCATCCTGTAGCTCCCCCATCTCCCACTGTAAAGGCTAACTCCTTATCCAGTTCTCAGGACTGCCTGATCTTATCCTGTCCTTATACCTCTGCTGCCTCATCCTCCCCAGCCCACCCCCAACGCTGAATTCAAACCATACCCACACCCACTCTCACTCTCAGTCTCCTCTGTGCTCTGATGATTTGGGAAATCCATAGTCAAGATCAGCCACAGAGACAGTTAAAGACCATAAGGGCTGTGGTTGTAAAGTCCCTACCATGTGCCAGGTACACACATAACATTTTGCCATCTCAATCCAACCTCAATGCCCTGTGAAGTTGGTACTCTTGGGACTTCCTTCTATAGATAAGAAACACACGTGCTGGGTAGAGGCGTGTCATGATCTCCTTGCTGCACTGCCTTGCTGATGAGAAATGACAACTGTGGGCACGGCGCACAATGCTCCCTTCTGTCATCTTGTGGCAGTCCTCACAGCTACTGTGTCCCTTTTGCAAATGAGGAAACGGAGGCTCAGAGAGGAACAGTGACTCCCCCAAGGCCACGCAGCCAGGTAATAGCCATGTCCTAATTGGAGCCCAGGTTTCTCTGCCCCTTGCCTCCTGGAGCTCATCCTGGCCGATTTCAGGGCCTATTCCCTGGAGCTCCACCAGCTGCCCCGTTTGCTTCCCCAGGGAGGAGTGAGGACAGACTGCACTCTCCCTTCTGTGGTCCTGGTGAAGGTGGCAGGGATTCCAATGTCCAGGCTTCAGATGAGGAGATGGAGACAGAGGTCCCCAGAAGGAAGGAACTTGCCCAGGATCCTACCCACCATCAAGGCATTACTGGCAAGGAAGCCAGGTCTCCTGGCTTCCAGTGCAGGGATCTTACACACTCAGCTCATTCATGCACAAATATTTATTGAACACCTGCTGTGTGCCAGGCACAGTGCTAGCCTCTGGGAATCACAGAGATAACAAAAACAGGCATAAATGCCTGTACCTGCCCCCCGCTCCCCCCGCCGCCCCGTCCCACCATGGAGCTAACATTCTAGGGCAGAGTTGGGGAGGGGGAGTGGTGGAAACTAACCAAATAAATCTTCAGCAGCTACTGTCTTCCCTCTTTATTTCTTTCCTTCGACAAATATTTATTGAGAACTATATTTCTATAAGACAGACATGGTCCTGACTCTCCTGGAGTGAGGGTCTAGTGGTGGAGGCAGGCACTAAATGAGGAGACACATAAATAAACAAGATAAATTCAGATTGTAATAATGGCAGAGAAGACATCAAGGTTAAGTGCTGGGGAGTGAGGGGGAGGGGAGGCAGAGCTTCGGAGGGTGTGGTCAGGGAAGGTTTGAGGGTTGGAGCTGAGATCTGAAGGGCATGAAGCAGCCAAGCAGGGTGTTTCAGTTGGAGGAAACAGCAAGTGCAAAGGGGCCAGGTAGGACTGAGCTTGGAGGTGTGGGGAAGAGCAGAGAGAAGGCCAGGTGGCTGGAGCAGGGTGAGAGGTGGCAGGTCAGACAGGGACGCAAGAAGGGCCAGGGTGCCATGGAGGGATACTGAATCGAGAGAGGGATGACTAGACCCACAGGGGGCACTGCTCGGGCAGGCCAGTCGTCCCTACATCTGGGGGTTTCCCAGCCAGACCCCTGAGAGGGAGCGCTGAGCACCTGCTGGCCTGGCACTGTCTGCCTCTGCAGAGATAAAGCCCCACAGCCCCCTGGAGTGGAGCCCCCCTGGGCAGTTGCTCCACCTGCACAGCCAGCGAGGGCATTGTGTGCTGGCTCTGACAGGCACACCTGGTGCTCTCACTAGCTTGCTGTCTGTCCTGATTTAGGGGCTCATCCTGGCTGGTTTCAGGGCCTGTTCCCCAACGTCCACCAGCTGGGATGAGGCTGGTTGAGGAGGAGGAAGCAGGCTCTGGTAGTAACCCCGGTAGCAAGCATGTCTCAACCTGGCAAGCCCATTGGACCCAGAGGGAAGTAGTCCTGAGTACCTATGAAACTCCAGACTTCTCTTTTCTGTTTACCTTTCCCCAGATTGCAAAGAGCCTGGGGCTCATGCAGGAAGCAAGGTTCAAGTGCCAGTTTAGCTGTGATGTTTAGAAATTTTCAATCTCCCTCTCTGGGCCTCAGTATCCTCATCTGTACAATGGAAGGGTTGACTTGATTAAATTCAATGTAGACTCTAGAGATAGACTGTCTGAATCTTCATTTTACCATGTAGTGGCTATTTGAACCTAGGTAAATTATTTTTAGTGCCTCAGTTTACTCATCTATAAAATGGGAGTATAATAATAGCATCTGTTTCAAGGGTTGTCTGAAGACTGAGTTATGTGTGCTTAGAAAACTGCCTGGTGCTTAGAACACTGCTTGTCCCATGGTAAGTCCTATATTTAACTCCGATTGGTATTATTATTCAAATCTTTAGAGAACATTGAACTGGAAAGATTTAGAAAGACTCTAAGATAACCGAGTCTGTTTGTTTGCAAACTTTTTGGTCTTTGTTTTTAACAAGAGGCTCTGCATTGCTCAAGAGAAATTTTACTCAGAGGCCCAGCTGTTCAAGGGGATAGAGGGAGGGGGTGCCTGCCCCACCTGCTTCCCCGTCTCTGTGTCTGCAGCCCTCAAGGGGGATGCTGGAGCATAATTTGAGAACTCCTGCTCAGTCCATCTTCTTCAGCTCACAGTCAGGGAAACTGAGACTCAAGAGAAGGACAGGGACCAGCCCAGGTCCCACAGGGATTGAGTGGCTCAGCCTAGCCTAGAACCCAGATCCCCTGGTTTTCTCAAAGCAAGACAAGGGGCAGGAGCTGGGAGAAAAGCAAGGACCAGAAGCCACTTAGGGGACTGGGTGCATTGTGGCGTCAAGTTATTAGCATGTAAATCACATGCAAATAGATGCAAAACAGCATGTTTTATGCTAATTTGCAGAGTCGAGAGCTACGACATTTTTGGTAATAGGGCAGCAGCCCTGGTCCCTGGGCATTGCCGAACACGCGTCCCTTTTTTCTTTCCTTCTTTCATTATTATGATCAGGCCCATAAATCTTGGCTTGGCTGTAATCCCGCCCCTTCTCGCCTGCAAGCCTGGCTCTTGTCACCCTCAAGGGCTTCCTCTTCAGTCTCCTGGTCCTGCGTGGGCTCAGAGACAGGCCTGGGCAACGGATCAGAGAACCAGGATTCAGGAGCCACTAGTCAGCTCCAGGGCGTGGAAGCTGCTTCTTCAGGAGGGGGGTCTGGGTGGAAATCTGATGGGGCTTGGGTCATGGCTGCCACTCCTTTGTGCCAGTTGTCCTGGGCATCTGGAGCATGTCCACCATGCCTTCCCAAAGCCAGCCCTAAGCCCAGGTTTGGCACCTCTGCTGAGCTCCCATGGCCACTGTGGTATTCCTGCTATTGTCTGGGGTTGGCCAGCCTTGCAGGGTGACCCACTCCAGGAGCGCAGGGCCTGCTCCTTTTCTTGTATACCCAGTACCTCGGACACAGGTTTTGGATGTATCTGGTGTTGGGGAACTGAAGCAGTACACAGAGATCTAGATGTGCACCTGGGTGAGCTTGCAGTTTCTGAAACCATGCTGCTTGAATTCAAATCCTAAGACCTCTGCTTTCTGAGCTAGCACTCATACTAACAGGAACGATGCACCTACCATGATCCAGGTGCTTTGCTTGGCGCTTACTGTTTAGGCTCTCACTGATAATAATACAGTAAGTCCCCCACAGACAAACTTTAGGTTAGGAACTTTCAGAGATGTGAATGTGCCCCTGTATGCCAGTTGCTGTACTATACCACTGTACTTTTCAAGATACTGTACTGTAAGATTTAAAATGTTTTTTTTTTTGTTTTTTTAATGTATTATTTGTGTGAAAAGTATTATAAACCTAGTACAGTACAGTATTATATAACTAGGTGTGTTAGTTGGGTGTCTAGGGTGACTTTGTTGTACTTACGAACAAACTGGACTTACCAAACACACTCTTGGAAAGGAACTTGTTTGTACTTGGGGGACTTACTATATCTTATAGGGTGGGTATTTTATTATGGCTCCCATTGTATGAGAAGAGGTCAAATGACTTCCCCAAGGTCACAATGCCAGGGGAGCTGACTAAAGGGGCATTTATATTTATTGAGGATGAGTGCCTCACAAGGCAGTGGTTCTAAACCACTCAGCAAAGCTGCTGTCACAGGAAATCAGAGCTTCTACCTTACCATCTGCCAGCCTTTTGACAGTGTTAAACTTTACCTGTGCCCATAGAAAATATGGATGGTTAAGAAATCTCAACTTTTTGTTTTTTGCAGTCCCTCTACCGATTTTGTTCTGATAAATGGCTTACTGCAAGCCACCACCTTCTCCATAATACTTAGGTAAGACTCTATCCATCTTTCTCATGACTCCCCTAAGATTGGAGATGACTCCCCTTGTTTGTCTGTGACCTTTTCCCTTTTGCCTGAGCCTCCTAAGGCCAAACAAAGACCTTCCCATTCTTTGTCTCCTGGTTGATTAGGTGAGGTTAGAACTGTTTGTGCCATCTGAAACTAGACACAGAGATAAACATTTCCTGTTCAGCTGGTTGAGACGACTTCCCCTGATTGTAAAACATCCCCCAACCTGTAACCTGTCTACTCCACCCTATAAAAGTCAGGCAAACCGGCCCAGTCCAGACACCGTGGTCTTGGGCTCGCGGGTGCTTCTCCATTGCAAGAGCTTGAAAAAAAATCACCTCTCCCATTGTCTGATGTATTTTGTCTTTTACACTCTTCCACTGTGCCGTTTTTCAGCTAAGGCTCCCGAGCCTTTTTAGAGCCCCGCGTGTGACCTTGGATCACTTCCTAAGCATCTCTAGGCTCCGGGCTCCTCTGCTGCAAAACGTGATGATCACCGGCCCTACCTCCCCAGGTTGAGACAGGAGATCACGCCCGGAAACGCTTGGCGCAGAGCCGGGCCGGAGTGAACGCTCCAGAAATGTCAACCTTTGTGTTTGCAGGAAAGGCGAACGGCGCTTGGGACACTCGGCCGGCGGAAGTGGAGGAGTGGAACGCGCGTCTGGAGACCTCTACCCCTGCTCCGGCGCTGGGGGGCTGTCCTGGGTCCCCTCCCCCGGAGCCCCCCGGGATCGCAGTCAGGGTCGGGGGTCGGGGTGGGGGGCATACTCCCCACGCCCGCCCTCCCCGCCGCCCGCCTTTGATTACGGCTAGCAGCGAATCGCCGAGCAAATTAACTTTTTGCACACTTCATTATGCGCCGCCCCGCGTCCCCCCGGGGCCGCGGCCCCGCCCCCGCCCCGCGCCGACAACTTGATTGGGCAATTAATCTTCGCGGCCCCCCCAGCCCCCCGCAGCCCGGCCCGGGCCTTTGTGCGCCTGCACGCGGGCCGCCGGCGCCCGCCCGGACGCCGGGTCTGCTAGCGCTGATAAGGCGCGCGCGCCGCCCGGCCCCCGCCTTTGTCCGCGCGCGGGGAGGCGCGGCCGTCGCTGCCGTCTAGCACCCCGTCAGCGCGCCCCCGCCCCCTCGGCTCGGTCCATCTGTTTGAGCTGCGCAATCCTCCAGCGGCCTGGCGGGGGAGGGGTCTCGCTCTCGGGCCGGGAGCCAGCGCCCCCTCCACCCGGTCGCTCCATGTGTAGGAGTGACGCCCCCCAGGCCCCGAGAAACACACACACGCGCGCGGGCGCGCACACACACACACACACACACACAGCGCCCAATTAAGCAGCGCGGTAGTAATTAAGAAGGGGGGGGGGCGAGGCACAGCAGCAGTCTAAGGAATGGAGGGGTTTCCGAGCTGTGTCCAAAAAAAGAAGGGGCGCTGCCACCCATTCTGTACCCAGGTGTGTGACCTCTGGTTACACGCTTGGGGCTCTGCGGTTGGGGTAGGAGGAGAGAAGGAGAGGCCCTGGGAATTTCTCTGATAAGTCATGCTTCTTTGTGCATTTTTTTCTGGTGTTTTGCCAGCAGTTGACCCAGCCTCAAAAAGGCAGCCTGTGATTAGTGAGCGTTGAGAACCCGGGCCCTAAATGGAGGCTAAATGCAGGACGATTGTAGAGACCAATAGCAAGGTGGTTTAGAAAGGGCTCCCAACTCACTGTGGGAGGCTGTGTTTCAGGTTACAGCTCTGTGCCCAGGGGTGGTGGAGGCCACGGGCTGTCAGCGCTGGGCATCCAGCATGTGCTCACCGGTGTTGGTTCTTGGGATTTTCTCTGGCCTTCCCTGGACGACACAGGACAGGGACTGAAGGCTGACGGGTGAATGATGATGCTGGAAACAGGCTCTTGAGTTTCCTCCTGCTCCAGGGCCAGTGGGCATGGGTGCAAAGCTTGTGGTCTGTGCAGAGCTTAGGGCTGGGGTGTGTGTGTGTGTTCCCTGGGAAGTGTCTGCACCAGCTTGTGAAGGGTTCGAGTTTTGTTTGAGTAAAGGATTCTTAGCCTTCACTGGTGTTCATAATAAGGGTGTGACCCAGTGTGCACAGAATCCCTGAGGAGAGGGCTGGCAAAGCAGCTTCATCCGGGTAATCCACCAGCAATGCTGACTGAACACTCACTGTTTGCAGAGTGCACAGGGGCGCCCCTAGATGCTAGGACAGCATGAGCAAAGCAGAGCTGTTGTCCTCACAGGCTCACAATCTAGTCTGAGAGATGGATGAGAAAGAAGATAAACACAGAAGTCATGAGATAATAGAGCTGGAGATTAAAATAAAGCAGGACAACTGAGTTGGTGTGTGGGCCCCACTTGCTGGACACCCCCTCCCCACCACCACCCGGATGCCCCGATGCCCGGGTAATGAAGTCTGCACTCTGGAATGTAGGGACCTAGTCCGCCCCGACTCTCTGCAACCCATCTCTCTACTCCCTGGGACCCAGACCCCCCAGCCAGTTCTGTGGCCATCCCAGGGGCAGGGTCCCTGGGATGATGGGCAGGCTCAGTCTGCTGTGGGCTCTCCCGCTTATTCCTGTGCAGGTGGTGGTGGTGGTTCCTTCGGATAATGACAGCCTCCAGTCTTGCATGACGGAAAGGCCTCTCGGCTTTATAGTCCAGAAGGGGCCCTGTGAGCAGAAGCTGAATTAAAATGGAGAAATACAGCCTCCCCTTCCTCCCCTCCTTTCCCTCCCCCCGCCCAACTTCCCTCATTCCCACAGCCCCTGAGGCCATGGGTGAATAGTTTCTTAGTCCATTTGCCTTGCTAAACTGAGTTAGTGAGCTGGGTATATACCTCCCTATGCAAAGAGTCAGACACGACTGAGCGACTGAACTGATGGGTTCTAAAGTTAGGAGACACCCAGAACCAGCAAGTGGAATAAAGAGAATACTGTTTGACTCTGAATGCACCACCCCTCCTCTCCCCAGTACAGACTAAGTTTAGATCCCTTGTCAACTCTAATCCTTGATTCTGATGTTCTGGCTCTAAACATTCGAAGACTTCAGAGTTGTAGACTCTGACATTCTAGAATATTAACATCCTATGCATCTTACATGACCATCCTGGATGTCTATGATTTCTGCCCTTGCGTTCTAGAATTCTGGGACCCCAATATTGATTTTTGTTGGGGTCTACTCATTGAAGTAACAAAAGAGAAAGACTCCATGCAGAGTCACATGATTTGTCATAATGATAGCAACTAACAGTCTTTCAATCATGCTTTTATTCAACAGTTCTTTTTGTTGTTGTTGTTTAAAAACTCTTTTAAGTGCCAGACACTGTTCTTGGATTATACAAATAAATTTAAATATTAAAAAATAGACAAATACACAATTTGTTAGAAGATGACATGTACAGGAGAGAGGGGTTGGGAATGAGGGAGCACAATTCAAATTGATGGTCAAGGTAGGACGTAATAAGAAAGTAATATTTGATTTTCTATTTATTCTTTCATTTATTGAAAGTTGAAATCTCTTTGTATAACTATGGATTTGTTTCTCCTTGGAGGTCTACCAGCTTTTGTTGTACGTATTTTAGATCTCTGCCATTAGGAATATAAACATTTAAAATTGTTTTATGCTCTTAATTAATCAATCCATTACTTGTTATGAAATGACCTTTTCTATCCCTGGTAAGATTCTTTGCTCTGAAATGAAATTTGTCTGATATTAACCTAACCACTCTAGTGTTCTTTTAATTAGTGTTAGTATGGTATATCTTTTTCCATCCTTGTACTTTTAACTTGTGTCTTTATATCTGAAGTGGATGTATGGTTTTGTTTTTGTTTTGGTACATGGCATGTATTTGGGTCTTTATAAAAATTCAGTCTGACAATCTCTGCTTTTTAATTGGGAGTGTTTAGACCATTTACATTTAATGTGATTATTGATATGATTCAATTTAAGCCTATTATCTCATATTTGCTTTCTCTGTTCCATTTGCTCTTTACTTTTTTTCTTTTCTGCCTCATTTCTTTCTTTTTTTTTTATTTTGACAATTTTTAAGTGTTTATTAAATTTGTTACAACATTGCTTCTGTTTTATGTTTTGATTTTTTGGCTCTGAGGCATGTGGGATCTTAGTTCCCTGACCAGGGATCAAACCCACACCTTCTGCATTAGAAGGTGAAGTTGTAACCAATGAACTGTCAGGATAGTCCCTCTTTCTGCCTCATTTCTGATTAACTGAGCACTTTTCATTATTTCATTTTCCCTCCTTTGTTGGCTTCTTATCTATAATTCCTCATTCTGTTATTTCAGTTGTTGCATTAGAATTTATGGTATATGTCTTTAACTTGTCACAGTCTACTGTCAAGTGATATTATACCACTTCATATGTAGTGTAAGAACCTTGTAATAGTATACTTCCATTTCTCTCTTCCTGACTTTAATGCTATTATTGTCATGCATTTTACTTGTGTAGATGTTACAAACTCCACCAAATATTATTATTTTTGTTTAAACAGCAAATTACCTTTTAAGGACAACTAAATGATAATATAGAATCTTACATATTTACTCATGTAGTTAACATTTTTTCCTTTGCTCTTATTTCCTTTGCATAGATCCAGATTTCTGTCTGGTATCATTTTTCTTCTGCCTGAAAAGACATGTGCAGGAGAGAGGTGCATTTATCATTTTTTGTAGTGCAGATCTGTTGGTAAAGAATTCTTTCAGCTTTTGTTTGTCTGAAGACATCTTATTTCACTTTCATGTTTGAAAGATATATTAACAGGGGACAGAAATCTATGTTGACCCATTTATTTTTCTTTCAGTAAGTTAAGACGTGGCTCTACTATTTTCTCCCTTCCATGTGTCCAGTAATAAATTTGCCATTATCCTTATCTTTGTTCCTCTGTACTTAACATACCTTTTTTCTTTGACAGTTTTAAAAATATTTTCCTCTTTGTCACCAGTTTTGATCATGATAGGTAATTTTCTGTTTTTTTTGTGCTTGAGGTTTGTTAAACTTCTTGCACCCGTGAGTTCATAGTTTACATCAGATTTGGAATATACTCAACCATTTTTTTTTTCAAATTTTCCTTTCCTTTGGAGAACTCAGTTTCACATATATTAGACTATCTGAAGTTGTTCCACATTTCTCGATACTTTTCCTGTTAAAGAATTTTTTTCCCCTCTACATGTTCCATTTTGGATAATTTTTCTTGCTGTGTCTGCAGATTCATTAATCTTTTCTTCTGCCATGTTTAGTCAGCCATTAATTCTAGCATATTTTTCATTTCTGATATTGTAATTTTCATTTCTAAAAGTTTGATTTGGATCTTTTTATGTCTTCCATGTGTCTCTTTCACTTGGGAACATATAGAATACAGTTTTTAAAATTGTTTTAATGTTCTTATCCACCACTTCCTTGTCAGTTCTGTGTCAGTTTCAACTAATTCATTATTGTCCTCACTATGAGCCATGTTTTCTTGCCTCTTTGCATGCCTGTAATCTTCATTTGGATGCCAGACATTGTGAGTTTGACCTTTGGTGGATGCTATAGATTTTTATATTTCTATAAAAGACGCTTGCTCCTTGGAAGAAAAGCTATGATCAACCTAGACAGCATATTTAAAAGCAGAGATATTACTTTGTCAACAAAGGTCCATCTAGTCTAAGCTATGATTTTCCCAGTAGTCATGTATGGATGTGAGAGTTGGACTATAAAGAAAGCTGAGCACTAAAGAATTGATGCTTTTGAACTGTGGTGTTGGAGAAGACTCTTGAGAGTCCCTCAGACTGCAAGGAGATCCAAACAGTCCATCCTAAAGGAAATCAGTTCT